GGCGGCTGCCCCCTCCCCATTCACATCCTCTGGGCTCTCCCCTCCCTCCTCCTGCCGCGCGCGCGCGGGCATGCTGGGAGGTGGAGTCCAGCTGCTGCTGAGTCCATAGGGGCGCCCCGCATTCAGGACTACGACTCCCCCAAAACAGCGCGCCTGCGCCCTAGGGATTGTGGGCTTTGTAGTTCGGCCGGGGCTCCGGGGGTCTGCCGCTCTTTACGGGGTGGGGGATGGGAAATCTCCGTTCCCAGAAGGCCGGGTTCCCAGTGTCGGATGTGGGGTGTGAGGTACCCCGGGGCCCGGGTTGCATACCTTGGGTTCCCAGGAAGGTGCCAACCAGCCCAGGCTGCCTCCTAGACGCGGCTGTGCCGGCTGCAGCCGAACTCGGCTGCAGGAGAAGCCTCCGCCCCGCGAACCGCGCCGCACCCCGGGTACCGTTTCCATCCGTGCTCGCGAGGAGCCCTGACCTGGGGCTGGCCTGGCTTCATGCCGGGCTCTGCCATCCGCACATTTTAAATATTTTTCCACGTCTTCTCCTTTCCCCCCACTCCTACAAACCGAGCTCAAATCCTTTAGGAAGCTCTAGGTCGGCCTCAGTTTCACCCTCCACGTTTCGTTTCATTCCCTCTAGCACAGGGAAGGCCTGCACATCAGTGGTTCTCAAACTTGGGCCTGTGTCAGATTCTCCAAGAGAGCTTGTTCAAACAAAGGTTGCTGGCCCGCCCACCCCAGGTTCTGTTTCATCAGCTCTAGAGTGGGCCTGGGAGATTTCTAGCAGGTTCCCAGGTGCTGCTGACGCTGCCGGGCTGGGGAACCACTTTGAGAACGGCTTCTGTTGGTGTTGGTTGGGTAGAGTTCTCCCAGCTCAGTAGCATCTGCTGCCTCTGGGTGAGCTCTGACCTAAAATGGGTCCGTGGTGGGGAGTGAGAGGTGAGGAGGTGGATTCCTGGCATGTCAAGTATCTGAGAGTCTCTTACACCTACCCGGGTAGAACCTCCCGACCACCTCTGTCCTGATGTTCCGGGAGCTGAGACCTCCGAGGGGCAAACGTGGTGGCCACCACCCAGACTCTAAAGCTGTCAGGTGAGAAAGATTCTCTGCTGGACCAAACTTTAGCTCCTCTGAGACCTCTTCGTCCATAGGCCTCAACCTTGGTCTAAAAATGACACTCGCAACACAAATGATTCCATCCACCCCCTTCCCCTACGTGAAAAGACTTACACACAATAGCGTAGTTTCTAACAGCTCAAGGCCACATCCCGAGGATGACCCTCGCTCCCTTTAAAGTTCATAAAGCGGAAGGCTGCCAAAAGAATTGGCTGTTTATTCTAGCCAACACCGCATGGTAGGCTTGTGACCACCCCTTGCATAGAGGATTTACTGAAAAGGGTTTATAATTGTGACTCCTGCCTCTGTCCCTTTGAGATGTATATGTATCTCCTACAACTCAGGAGTGTCTTTCCCAAGGACCTGAGAGCCATGCCCTTGAAATGTAATCCCCGGGAAGGAATAGAGCCTCTGTCTCCCAGTCTCCGTGGGAGGTTAGGATCCTGACCTCAATAATTTCCCCGCAAGCAGACACAGCTGGCCTAGTCAGCATTTACACGGACCAACCCTTTGTAATTTTTTACTTCCCTGACTCTACTGAGCCCCTGCTCACCTCCCTCTGGACTCCCTCTGGACTCTCTCATTCTCCATCTATTTATTTATTTATTTACTTACTTACTTACTTACTTATGTTAATCCTCACCCGAGGATATTTTTCCATTGATTCTTTTTTCCCCATTGCTATTTATTTTTTATTATTATTTTATTTTATTTTTATTTTTTTAAAAATATATTTTA